GCTTGCAAAGGCTTACTTTGGAAAACCTGAGGTGATTGTTGAGGGATAGAGAAGATGAAAGCTCTTCAAGACGCTACCTGACTTCTAAAAGGTGAAGGCATTGGAGCTTCTTGTGTAATAACTATAGTGTTCACTGATAACTTAAATGTTGTATATGTACAAATGAGCTGTAAGGGAAAGATATTCAAAGGCACAAATGTCAGATGCCTTACTTTAAATAGTATTTAGGGGTCTAATTTCCATTTGTGCCTACTGAAAATTGACCCCTGAATTTGTAGTTGCACACTCTATAATAAATATATTGAGAACCTCATCTCTGGGTTTTGTCTAGTTTATTTCATGTAATTATCCAGTGAATATAATTCTGCCTACCCTCTTTCTTCTTGCCATGTTTCTCAGCCTTAGATTGTTAACATTAGTAACCTAGGTGGCAGCAGGAGAAAACTATTGGACGAGGATGGGGTTGAGAGCTAGCTTTCTCTCTCAGCTATTGAATAAATATGTATTTTGGGGGAAAAGCATCAGTACACTGCATTGAAAATTCCCGCTAGTGCTACAGCAATACTTATTTTCACTTTTATGTCTGTGGAGTCAACATACGATTCCTTTGAGGTAGTGAAATGAAAGGAAGGGGGTGGAAATACAACTTGAAATATGACCTTCACACTTACAAGTTTGGATAGTTGGGCAGCCTGGAGACAGAACAGAGCTACAGAAATCAAATAAAACAACCAATGGTCTGGTAGCACTTTATAGACTAACAAAACATGTAGATGGAATCATGAGCTTTCGTGGGCACAGCCCACTTCTTCAGATGACGGGAGGAACAGGTTAATTTGTCAATCCTGCTTTAAAAACAAAATCACAGTAATAACCAAAAGCATCTAAACTGCTGTATATACTCGTTCATAAGTCAACTTTTTTGGGGGAAAAAAGTACCGCTGTGAGGAGCGGGAGTCATTTTATGAGTGTACTGAAGGACTTGCTAGCTGCTTACAGGAGTCTCTCAGCTGTCAGACTTTTAACTGAAAACACTTGACTGATAGCACTTCATATTTTAACACTGAGCAGGATGAAGGATTTTCTGGCTGCCAGGAAGTGTTAAAGGCTCACTGTTAAAGTGTTAAGTGATAAAAGCTTAGCTTAGAACCTGCTGACCATGAAGCACTGGTATTGGAAGTCTCTACTCTGGATTCAGTTTATAAATGGGTCAGTGACGTTTTTAACCATTTTTTTTCTCTGTAAATTTGGGTGGTCAACTTATAAACGACTGGGTCTATGTTTGAATATATATGGTAATTAATGATTTTGTGTGTGTAAATTTAAAAAAACTTTTGGTGGGCCAAAACTAACAGTTAGCTCAGGTTGACATTGTATTTCCGCCCCACCTTGCTTTAAGGCAGGGTTGCTCGACTTTGGAAGCCCTTAGGGCCACGATGATACTCACAGCACATACCGAGGGCCGCAACTTAAGTGTGGTTGCATATACATGCAAATATATGTGCAAATATATGCAAGTAGCTTCTTTCACACTGACGGGCATGCATACAAAGGTTAAGGCAAGACTACACAATATGCAGGCCCCATTTAAGTCAGTTCTGCTGTTATTAATAAAATGCAATATTTCCCCATTTCCACCCATATGACAGCACTTTTAATGAGCAATGATAGTCCAGGAATTTAACTACTAAAACCCTTATCAACAGGAGACCATTATATAGACTTCGTTTTTGTTTTGGCTCCCACCTGCGGGCCGTGTGTTGAGTAGCCCTGCTCTACGGTAAAATGGTTTTATACAGTTTTTCTGTTTCAATCAGTATATAATACTGAAGCAGAGTATAAGTGGTAATAAACTCATGTCACTTTTTAACATCTTGACTCTCTTTAAAACACACAGTGGATCTGAGTTGGTGTACAGAGTCGGTGGTGGACTTTGCCAGTATGCTTCAGCCCTGTAGCACTGAGATCTGCACCTGTTAACAAACAATTCTCCAATTCACAGACTTCAGTGTACCCTATTACAGCCGTTGCCTCAGGGAGTGTAGCACTAGTACATGGCTTTCTTTTGCTGTTTTAAGAACTCTGTTTTAATATATAGTCTGGGGTTGTTAGCAACACATTTCTGTAATACACAAACAATACCAATTTGTACTTGTTGGAGACTGAGAGGGACAAATAGCCATGGAGTTGGATACAATCTCTGTCTCCTCTGTGAAGAGCTGTCCTGTCAATAGGACAGTTAAGGGCAACCGTCCCGGGCCACCAAGGTGGCAGCCTCAATTGCCCAATGGCCAGGACTTGTGAGGCCCATGGTGTCCTGGGGAGTTACTTGGGAGGGCCTGGCATAGGGCAGCAACAGGAGTTGGGCTCCACTGTGCTCATTGCAGTGTCAGGAAGCAGAGTTCGGTGTGCTGGAAGGCAGAGAACCAGAGCAGACTTGGGTTGCTCCAGCTCCTATCTCTGTGATGAGTGCGCAAGGGGGGGCTGACTTGCAGCAGCCATGCCAGGTCCTCAAGTAATCCTCCTCACGAAGCTTGGGGGAGGAGATTTTGGGCAAGGGATGTAATGGGGGCGGAGTAGGAAGTGGGCAGGGCTTAGGAAAGGCGAGGTGGGGGGATCAGAGTGGAGCAGAGGTGGGATCTGGGGAAGGTTGTCCCCCTATGGATGGCATTGTCTCTGGGATAAGGTGAGGTACCTTATATTGACATCTTCCCATGCTATCAGTGTAGTTGAATAAATACATTCTACCTTCCAGGATTGTCAAACATTTCACATTGACTAAATTTACAAAAACAACATTGATTTCTTGTTCAGACGAGTCAACATACAGGAAAATAAGATTTTAAAAGCACAAACTCCCAGTATTATCCGTGATGTAACTCAGGGGTACAGAACCTTTTTTGGGTCAGGGGCTTCTGGCCCACAGAAAAATCTGTCAGGGGCCATGCACAAGTGAAAAGCAAAAAAAAAACCCCAAAAGAAGAAAAAACAAACCCTTGCTGATCTGACCCCCTACTGAGAAGAAAGACACTCCTCACATTCCCCTCGCATACTAGAGCCCGGAGGGGGCTAGACTAGTAGATTTTGTGTGCTCCAGTCTTGCTGCGGGGCGGTGATGGTGCTGGAGCACGAGTGCAGGCTCCCAAATGCTGGGGAGGAGGCCTTGAGAAATGGGGGCTGGATTCAGGCAAGCTGGCAGCTGCATCCGGCTCCTGAGTCTTAGGTTCCCCAGCCCTGATGTAGATGAAAGTATCTCCAAATCCTTCTGTGGTCTCCAGTGTTGTACTAAGACATCTCTGTCGTAGACAGAATAAATCACATTATTTATCAGCATTAGAGAGCAATGTGAAGTTTACCTTATTTTGACACACAAGCAAAAATGATTTGGTGGGGAGGGATAGCTCAGTGGTTTGAGCATTGGCCTGCTAAATCCAGGGTTGTGAGTTCAATCCTCGTGGAGGCCATTTAGGGATTTGGGGCAAATATTTGTCAGGGATAGTACTTGGTCCTGCTGTGAAGGCAGGGGACTGGACTCAATGACCTTTCAAGGTCCCTTCCAGTTCTAGGAGATAGGCAATCTCCATTAATTTATTTATTTATTGCCATTGCTAGTCTATGGCCTCATGGTCAAAAATAAATGTTTATAACATTATACTTAACAACGGTATCCCTCCTCTTTTCCTCTTTTTTTTTTAAAAGCTCCTGGCCCATCAACAATCAATCTACTTTTAATTGTTACTTTCCTTCCTTTAATCTATGTATTTACAATATTAGTGTTTTAATGAAAGTGTGTGCATGGTTTCTTAGAGATCTTACAGATGTAGAATAGCTGTTATCCTTAACGTAATGAACATTTTCTCAGAATGCTAGGGAGGAAGGTCTTATCTTTGCTGGGGAGGATAGGTCTTATCCTATCTAGAAATCTTTACCAGCAAAAGTTCCGCTAGTCTAGCACTACCTACAAAACTATTTTGAACATTGTGTTAGCAGCTGGCTGCTTATGCTGTACTTGATCCACACATCTTCGGATTGTATTGGTAAAAGACGTGACACTGTGGATAAGCATTCCAGTTCCTTGACAAGCTTTCTATATTTATAACTAGAAGACTTACTCAGCACTGCCTGGCTCCTTCTGGCAGGGGGCTGACAGGGAGGAGGGAGTGCAGGAATTGGCAGGGCCTTGGAGATATGGGAGGCAATGCAGGAGTCTTTGGGAATACAAGACCGAGGATTGGGGGCTGAGGAGGGTCCCACCCAGTATGGGCCTTTTCTCTCTGCTAGCCCACCCTTTGGCCATTGGGGTTTTTCTCTTCTCCCCTTTCCTCCACTCTCTGAGCATTACAGACAAGGCCCAGAAAGGGAGGAAAGGTTTGGGGTAGGAGGGCTACTTAACTAGTCTGCTGGCCACTCCCTTAGTGGTACAGCTGCCCCCAGTGGGATGCTCTGCAAGATAGCGGTCTCCTGCAGGCTTGCTGCTCCCAGTGCCCACTGTGTATAGCGTATGTCCAAACAGCCCCAGCCCCAATCTCCCTCTTTTTCCATGTTTTGGAAAACTGTCCCTTTCCTGGCATTTCCAGTTTGGAACAACCAAACCCTGACCTTGCTTTAAGTTTGGAGAAGAGGAAACTGCACATCAGATTTGGTGGTCGTAGCTCTTACCGTTTAGGAGTTTTTGAACAAATGGACTGGAAGACACATAGACAAACTCATAAACTTCTAAACATATAGATTTTTTAAAATTGGTATAGACAATTACTAATATGCAGGTTTTTGTGGGGGAGGGAGGGGAGAATAGTACAGTGAGAGGCGATGTGGTAATGAATTTTTCCAATTCCAGATACATTGGATTATTCCAGTTATTCAAAGGAGGGCAAGCTGTGCTTAAGTGAAGCTGTAGCTCTTCCATAACCATACACTTCATGTTGAATCTGATTCAGTTCTATGGAAATTGTACTTCAAATTGATTTTTTTTCTCACGTGGGACCTGTGAAATTTTTCAGAGTTGTTCAACCACATCAGCAGCAGCTGTTTGATGAAGAGGAGTTACCAGCAAGTGAAAATGAAGATCAACCTGGTCCATCCAAACGGAAACGCCAGCCAAGTATGTCCGAGACAATGCCACTGTACACACTATGTAAAGAGGATTTAGAGAGTATGGATAAAGAGGTGAGCTAAACTAATTGTCAGGATTCTAACAGTATTATTGTATTAGTCAGTTACACATGATAGTATTCTATTAAACTACGTACATACGTGAAATTACTTGCATGTTACTGAGTGCGTGTAACTATTGATGGGAGGGGAAGCCAAGATACAGTAACTTAAAACTAAAATATTTTAATTGACCTAGAAATACATTTCATTACACGGTTGTGTGCTACAAAAAGTTTTAACCTAAGATCATGTAAATACTTTCATGGAAGTAGACCTATAAAGTAGTTCAAATCGCCATAATTTTGGTACAACAGAAAATGTGCATGAATGTTATGTAAAGTATTAAATATTGTCACACTAAATTTCATATAAATGAGGACCTAAAATCTCTTAAGATTACCAATTACAAAACCAATCCATCTGTTAGTGTGTGACATTCAAAAGGAACCATAGTTTACTTTTCAGCTTCACGTAACTGGCGTTCAGTAATACATGCATTATATGCCTGAGGAAAATGAAACAGCTGTTTTATGGAGAGTTGTATATGTGGATTGATTCTTCTACTATGGTAAAGGTGACGTCTAGAATTTGAAATCTAGCCTATGTTTACAGTGAGAAGGTTTGATGACAAAAGTGCTGTTGACATACAAAAGTCACCAAAAGTGAAAAATGGTCAACCAGTTTTTCTGCCTCCCATTGTTGACATTCCGCAGCCATGTTACTAGCACCCTGTTGACAGAGCAAAGCAATGTGACTAAACATCTCACAATGCAGTGTTGTGGGAAGGCAAAGCTGATCCCTGCTCTTCTTGGGATTTCCTTGTAGCTCTGTGTGCTCTCTGTGCTGAGGAATATCAAAGCTGCACAACAGACTCTTCAGCCCTCCCACTGCAGCAGCAGTCCATCTGCCGCTGTGTTCGTAATTCAGGGCAGAACAGAAGCAGTCCAATTATTTGTTCTTTGTTCCCTAAACAGAGCAGCTCACTCAGTTGTCCAGTATTTCCCGGAATTTTGAAAGGGGAGGGTCTGTTAGCTTGAAACAGTTAGATCTGTGATTTTACTGGTCAGAAGATGGGCGGTCTGCAGTGTCCTCCCCCCTTCAGATCCATCATTGGTGTTTGGTGTAGTTGAGACGTAGGCAGATTAGATAAAACAATAAGATTTTTATTACATAACACAAATAAACTAGGACTCCCTGCAACATCATAACAATGGATTGGACATTAGCACAGATATTAATATAGGGGATGAACCCCAGAGCCAGGACTCTTACACCTATACCATGTCCTGTAGACACTGGGATGACACTGGGGAGGACACAGAAATGCCAGGAACTGGATTCCAGGAACTTCTGGAGCATGTAAGTGGACTTCCCTCGATCTTCTGTTTTCTTTCTTCTGTTCTTGACACGCTGTCCTGAATGTGGTATGTGAACACTCCCTATATAGGATTTCTTCTAGATGTTACCTCCCCTGGCTCTAGCTCTCAGCAAGGCTTGCTCACTGTGGGAGGTCTCTGTGCCCCACTGAGATGATCTGCTTGCACAGCATCCAGAGACACAGAGCACTGTCAGAGTGACAGACACTTCCCTATATACTTTCCAGTTGCTGGCCACTCCGAGTTCCCAACTTTTACTCTAGCATGGAGAAGAAGGGGACACCAAGAAGGAGGCCAGGTTGTCCTTTTGCCAATTCAAGATGGAGATTCAACCAAATTGGCAACCATATGAATCAAACATGTATTTAACCCATTTCTTTCCAACAGGGCACATGCCTGCAGGGCAGCAGAGATCACAAAACACTTAAGCACAGCCATCAGGGCAGGCATTGTTGGAAACTGGTGGAAGTCAGTTGTCTCAACAAAACAAACAGCAGAGTCCATTCTGGCTCTTTGTCAGCAATAAAGGAAGGAATAAAAGCCTCTCACAGGGCTGGAAGTTTTTTGTCACCAAAACTGGGTGTTTTTCTCCACAAGAGTCACGTTGCAGTGTAAGCACTTACTGCTTTGTCCCCAAAAGGCAATTTTTAATGACAAAACATGCCAATGTAGACAAAACCCTAGTCGTTGATGTACGGGGGTAATCCTTTGAAAATAGGATCATATTAAATGCCAGCTACAGAGATCTTTTTAAAAATAGCAATATCTTGTTTTATTCTTGATGATTATTGTAAAATTCTAGGTTTACTTGTATATCTGATGTCTATTTAGATGCTATAATATATATATTCTAAGTTGAATTTACACCTTTTTTAAAAATGCCATGTAAAATAATGAGTATTAAATGGTAAAATATTTAGCTCAAATGCAAAAAATAAGGCCACTTCATGTAAGGTAGTACGGCAATGTTAATTACAATGTAATGAAAGTGAACAGTTAAAAACTGAATGTGTCATCTGAGGGTATTGTCAGAAGTTAAGATGTCAATACCTGCACAAAAGATGTGTATTCATTTAAATGTACTGAGAATAATATCTCCTTTTAATTTAGGATTTCCCAGCTCTTTGTTTTGAATCACATATCAAACATAGACTAGCAGTATATTTTTTTAAAACATTATTTGGGATGGGTCTTGTTTGTAACTCCATCTGGTCTTTGAGTATTCAGAATGCTTTCTTAGAGATTGTTATATTTTCCATGCAGCTTGGTCAAGAGTCTGCCTTTTCCTTTGCATGCTTGAATGAAGAGTATAATGAACAATCTCATTTACATCACACTTGTTTGCAGGTTCTCACAAATGATCAATTATTTATAGTACCTATGGTCCCTAGTTAAAGACCTGGACTGCATAGTTCTAGATGCTGTACTGTTATATTTATAAGAAGCACATGAGATCTTTTTCAGGGGGATAAGGCAACATGCTGCATTTATTAATAATATAACACAGTAACATATGCATTTACTTTCATACACATACGTACGTACATACATATGTGTGTACGTACGTACGTGCGTCCTGCTGATGGAATAATTTACCAGTCTGTTGCATGGCCCAACCTATTGGCCAGATAGGTCAGGTGTGAGGAAGGAGCCAAGTCCTTGTCAGTCCAGACTGATGCTCCTCTTGGTCTTAGCAGGACAGAACCTGAAGAACCATAAAAGACACCCCTTCTTTTATAGGATTTTCCTTCTGTGCAAGTCTATGCATTTTGTTTTGTCAGGCCGTAATTAGTCATTCAGCATCACAATCAATCTTCCTATGACATACGCTTATTGGGAAGAAGTTGCTCTCACAGTCATCTGATATTGGTATTCTGATGACCTCTTCTGAGTGTCGTCTTTCTGGCAAAAGTTGTGATTGGTTTCCTATCAAGGGGTCCTTGCCACTGACTTCAGGGTTTGTCAGTCTGCCCCGGGCCAATTTCCGTCTTCAAAGTGTTCAGCTTAATTGATGACTCGTTTGGTGTCTGACTGAGTTCTCTGCTCCTCCTCTGACCATTTGGGCATGCAGTAACCTTCACACTTATCTTTTCTCAAACATCCTTTCTCTGATTCACACAAACAATACATTTAGCATAATTGCAGCATGGGACAGAAGAGAGTACTTCTAATCACAAGGTTATAAGGTTTTTCAATATGCTAACTTCTTTCTCTCTATTACAAGGCATTAGCTAACACTAGCATTACTATGCATTACAGTGTTTCATCTCTGCACTTCACTATGCTAACATCAAACAGAGCTGGAGCTAAGTTAATAAAGCTGCCTGGCCTGTCTTAGGCCTACATCTTGCATTTAAGTTTAAGCCAAACCTTTTTGCTATCACATTTTACGTTCTTTAGCACAAGAACAGTCATTTTACTGTGCTTACAATGTAGCACTGGAATTGGAATTTTGTAACTAATAAGTCAGTTATAATAAATGTAAGTGTAACACAAGAGATGACAGATACCGAGATATGGTGAAGGGAGGTGGGGGGGAGGGGGAGAGACTATAGTTTCATTGGTCAGCCAGGTACATCACTAGTCTAGCTATTGAGCTTTTTGTAGGCACCACAGCAAAAAAAGATTGTTTGGGTTTACATTTTTGAATGAGAATAATGCATTAGTTTTGCAAGTATCTATAGGGAGTTCCTTCCAACCATTTTGGAAAATGTAACCAGTGCAAGGTGGAGGCAGGCATCATAGGTGGAAGTAGACATGAAAGAGAGATGATAGGGGGGATAGGGATAGGCTATAAAGAGCCTTGAAAGTGAAGTAGCTTACTTTGATACCTTAGGGTAGAATTTTATTTTCAATCATTTCTCTGAAAAACTTTCTTGACTCATTACTTGGACCATCTCTGAAGTGACTCTTCTAAATGCTCTGTTCACTCTTCACACTTCCATATTTTTACACATGCAGAGTAAGGACTGAATGGTGATGGTGTGACAACAGCAAGCTGCTTTTAAGTGTGATAACTAGCTATTTTTCTGAATCTGGACAACCTTGCTTGCTTTCCTGCTTCTGTGCATGAGTTTGTCTTGTTTCATGTTTCTTCAGGTAACATGAAGAAGACTACAAGATGACATAATTTGCTAATCTTCAATTGCTTGAATTTTCCATAGTAACTTCATGATGAGGTTACTTGAATTGGCAATGCTGTGAAGAACAAATGTGATTCTGTGCAAAGCTTAAGCCTTTGTAAGGAAGTGTTGTCTCTTACCCAGGCCAAAGCAACCATTAATTTATTATTGTCACTTGTTCCTCCTTACCTATGCTTTTAATAGCTTGCCTATGCTTTTAATATTTCTGGTTAAGCCAGTTATGATATTTAAAGGTATTAGGAGTATAAAGCATCATCATTTCTGTTCTGACATTTTTTAGCAGAATTTGGAATAATAATTTTGTGGGGAGAACTGTAGGGAGAAGTACTGATTGTGCTGGAAGCATAATACAGAGGAGATTGGTCTAATGTTTCAGATAATGAACCAGATTCCTTCTATGATGGAAAGAATTTCGGAGTGCCCTGAGATGACAGAAATGCCTGTAATAACTGTGTTGTGTTAAATTGCAAAGATACAAGTAACACACTAATGA